CTCTGTCTCTCATTCTCTCTCTCTCAAATAAATAAATAAAATCTTTAAAAAAAAATAAAAAAAAAAGAAAATGACAGTATTGGAGGAGCAGAGCACTGGCAATCTTAAGGACTCGGGTCTAGTCTAGGGTCAACCGCCAGCTTCCCACTGGGACATCGCTAGCTCGTTTCCTCACTTCTGAAGTGAGAGCCCTGGCCTGAATATTTTTAAAGCCGTTTCTAGTTTTTAGAAACTCCGAGACTGAGGAGGTGTGGGTCTTAGCGTGTTGGTTAAAGAGCTGGCCTTTTTACTTCTCTTAATGCATACGTATGTCAGACCCCGGGGTAAGGCTGGTTGAATTTACACCGCCTGGTAGGTATATGCTGTCGCCAGAGCTGTGACTCCTGGAGCAGAGTATCTGGGCTTTATTATTCAGTTTGACAGTAAGTAAACAGTAAGGAGACTGACTGCTCATCCTTACTAGCTTCTCTGTTTGTTTGTTTTTAATCCTTAAGTTTTACGTGGACGGATGGCAAATTAAATAGCAGTAACTTGGTCATCCTGTCTGGCCAAGTGGTTGAACACTTTGATCTGGAGTTCCGAATCCTGTACGCACAGTCGAAGCCCATCAGCTCCAAGCTGCTGTCCAACTTCCGGATCAGCGGCAAGTTTGACCATCTAGTCGACCCGAAACCTCTGTCGAAGGAGCTCACGTTGGGCAGCCTGCTGCGCCTGCGGCTGGCCCGGCTCTCAAGCACCCCCAAGAAGGCTGAGCTGGGGTTCGAGGCGCCCACCGAGGGCAGGGCAGAGGCCAGGCGCCATGACTCGGAGTCCTCCACTATCAGTGACAAGGACGACTTCAACAGCCGCAGGGACAAACTAGAGGGCGGGAGGATGACCGATGCCGCCACTCAGACGGAGGCAGGAGAGGAGGCACCAGCAGTGAGTGTGAGTGATGCGGGGACCCAGGCCAGCGCCGTGACGACGTGTGCCGGGACCCAGACCGCAGTCACCACCAGGGTGGCGAGCTCCCAAACCGTGGTTCGGTTCACGTCGGCCACCACCCAGACTGACGTGGATGAGAACGTTCTCTTTTCTCAGGGCACCCAGTCTAAAGAAGGGTCACCAGTGTCCAGGATGTCTGTGTCAAGATCTTCCAGTTTGAGATCTTCCTCCTCTCTGTCCTCACAGGGCTCCGTGGCGAGCTCCCTGGGTTCCCAGGCGTCCAGCAGAGCCACTGACTTTGTCCGCGCTGGACATTCCAAGTTCTGGGGCGCCCCCCGCTTGGATCTATGCTTGCGAGACTCCTTTAGGAACTTGAATCAAGAGCGCCAGTTTCACTTTGCTGGCATCAGGTCCCGGCTCAACCACATGCTGGCCATGCTCTCCAGGAGAACATTCCTGACTGAGAAGTACCTTGGTTTTCATCCTGGAAACGTTACCAGGGCCTCGGTGAATCTGCTGGCTGTGAGAGATATCGCACTGTATCCCTCCTATCAGTGACCACTCAGCATTCAGCACCCGTCCCCTGAGCACCCTGCTTTGCAGCCCGTTCACCCGATCTTTGGTCACCCCGATTTTCTCTGAGTTCTATAAACTGCACATTCTTTTACATGCCTTTATCTTATTTTTGTCATGTATAAACCAGGTGTTGGTTTTATGGTTGAAACACTATGGGTACAGTTTCTTTGCACGACTTTAATATTGGTATCTCTTAAAGAGAGTGTTTAGGGGTTCTCAGGTTAATTCAGGTAAAAGAGAAAATACATTTTGTATTTTTCTAGATATGTGTGCTCTTCTGTTTTAGAGATTTGCATGACTAGTTTTTATGATCAAAATCCTGTTTAAGAAGAAACTTCCTTGTCATCTGTGTCTTCTTTAGGATATCTATGTTCTTAGCATTAAATAAATATAAACAACTTTTGTGTGGTGATTGCGCGGGTAATATTTTTCCCCTCTGGCACTTTTCTCTTTAACCCTGGAGTGTGTCACAAGTAAATACATGTAATAGCTATTTTTGCAGGGTTTTTTTTTTTTTTTTTTTAATAGTGTTGGGATGGGGAAGAAGTAGATGATCCAAACTGTTAAAAGAGAAAATATCCTCTTAAAAGTTAGAAGACGTAAAATAAGTGTCAGGGTCATGCCCTCCTTAGTGATAGGAATGTCGGTGTTACTATCTGTATAGTTTGAAGGAGGGAACTTGCCAGCAACTGCAGGTCTTTTCATGTGCCTCTCTCTGCTTGTCTTTTCTTCACAGGAAAAGCTTGAGCTATTTAAACAAGGAACTTGGTTCTCTGCTGCGCTGCCAAAGGCGGCCTTTGTGTGCGTTCCTGGATTCAGCCCTAGTATTAACTCTGGTGGCCCCATGGGCCTAATTTCATCAGATGGGTGTATTGACAATGATTTAGCAATCTCATATCCTGGAGTAGTGGCAGAAGAGGACACTGACAATTATCCCAGATTCCAGGTCTGGTGGCAGGCCATGCAACTGGTTTCTACACCCTGCTAATCAGGGTTGGTATGGCTGTGGAATCCTGTTTTTGTCCAGTCTCGTTTGTGTGGACAGACCAAAGGAAGAGAATTAAAGGGTGGCCTCCTCCTTCTGATTTGGCCAAAGCAAGAAAGATCTGTCACAGGGGAGGGTATCGTCTGCCACATAGGCACATGCTGATGCACTGGATCATGAGCATGCCTGTGGGTTTTCATGCGTGCCCTGGTCCCCAGGCTGGTCCCCAGGCTGGTTATTTGCTGGGTTCGTGCCTTAGTCTGGGCTGTGAAGCCGGCCAGACATCCAGTTCATGTCCGGTTGTAAACAACTCGGTCCTAAGCCTCACACAAACATATAGTTGGTTGAAACCAGTTGCAGATTTAGATCATTTCCTATGTTCTGTCTTTGACCCTCGCAACAAAGTAGTGCTGGGACAGCTGTTATTCCCAATAGTCGAGCAGAGAAACAGAAGCTCAGATGCAGTGGCATATTTTAGGTCGCAAGGCTGGTAAAGAGTGACATAGGCGTGGAACACAGGTTTTTTAGACTGGGAGTCCAGGACTTGGTTGTACGAGTCTCTGCGGGAGGGTGGAGGCAGCACAGGGTGTACGTTGAGAAGTGGCAGTCAATACACTGATGAGTTGAAACTTAAAAGGTGTTGCCAATGATTAGAAATTAGAACAAAAGAAATATGGGATCCCAAGGAAATGGCTAGGTCTCTTAGCGTGAACAAAGCTTTTCGGGCATTCGAGTTTGGAAAGAATATCATTCCAGGGCATAGCTGGTCAAGATGAGGTCTGAGGACCACCTGCATCAGGGTGAGCTGGGTCCTTGTTTACAATGTCCATTATTGGCCCTGTTCCCAGGGGAGGGGAGGATGAGTAGGGCAGACTATTTGGTTCAAAAATGTTGGTTGCCCCTTCCTGGGAGAGAATTACTATTTCCTTATATGTCTAATGTCAGACTTAACCATTGCAAACTTGGCTGTAAATATTTCAGTATGTATCTGTAAAAGATCAAAACAAAAAACAACTCCCTTTTAAAAACAACCACAATACCATGATCCTACCTAAACAACTTTAATAAAAATTTCCCAGTATCATCAAATAGTGTTGAAATTCAGTTGTCTTGTTTTCTCCCTGCTGATTGGTTTGTTAGAGATCCATGCAATTGCAAGGTCAACACAATCAGACTGCAGGGTCGACATTCTTTTGAAACACTTAAGGAGTCAGCTGAAGAGCTGGCCACCCCACCCCCACAGGCAGTTGGATTGGGGAATATTTATCTTTTACTAAGGGAACTTGAGGTGACTTACAAGAAAACCTAAGGTTCAGGATCATGTAAAGGAAAAGTTACATGGAAGAAGCCCAGGGGTGGAGTGGAATGAAGCCACAATGACCAGCATGCTCCCTTGGTAGTCCACACGTTTATCTTTAAGCTTCTCAGTAGGCGAGGCAGAAAGAGAAACCTGGTCAGATCCACCATTCGCATTAAATCCAGGTTCAGGAAGAATCCTTTGTTTTTTTTAAAAAAGATTTTATTTAATTATTTGACAGAGAGAGACACAGCGAGAGAGGGAACACAAGCAGGAGGAGCGGGAGAGGGAGAAGCAGGCTTCCCGCAGAGCAGGGGGAGCCCGATGCGGGGCTCAATCCCAGGACCCTGGGATCATGACCTGAGCCAAAGGCAGACGCTTAACGACCGAGCCACCCAGGCGCTCCAGGAAGAATTCTTGATGCTAAGATCAGGTAAGAATTTCTCACAAGGATCTTATAAAGATGATACTGTGGGGGCTCCTGGCTGGCTCTGTCGGAAGGACCAGTGACTTGTGGTCTTGGGTCGTGATTTTGAGCCTCACGTTGGGTGTAGAGATTTAAATAAACTTAAAAAGAAATAAAGATGATACTGTGAGGTGTTCAGACAGAAACGTCCTGATGATAAACCCTACGACAGATACTCTGAGGTGTGCCCAGACACTGAACCCACTAGGACAGTTGTTTAAAGCTATAAGTGAGTTTATATTTGGACGTACTCTGTGAGCATGGACTATGTACCTTACGTTGAATATGTTCCCATAAGCATCATTATGCTAGTTTCACTGGTGCCTCACGCCCAGAAAGATGCCCCAGTTTGCCTGGCAGAGTTCCAGTTTATGCCTGCGAGGGCCCCTCTTCAGGTCAGAGAAGTGTCCTGTTTGGACAATAAAGCATACTATCATCCTATCTTGAAAGCACCAGATCTGAGGCCCTCCCCAACTGCATAGATGGGCCTTGTTCCTCAGACCGACATGACAGAGACTCCCCCTGCTAGCTGAGTCTCTTTCCTGGTGGATCCCCATACCTCTGTACCCAAGTCCTTGGAGCTAAGTAACACTTTTGCTTATGCTAATACATGTGTGAACTTGCTCATTTGTGTGCAAGCCAACAAACCAGACAGGTTTATAGATGTTACAAGTTTCAGAGGGCTACACCTAGACCCAGGGAGAAATCCCAGTGTCGTGCAATTTGGCCAAAGACTACCTCTTTTCAGGCTGGGGGACAGCTAGCTCTCTCTGCTCTGGCTTCATGGAGGAGACCCAAGGGCAGTTAGGATTCTTCTTAGGAAGCTAAGAGTTCTAGTGCATGAATCCAGGGATGGTGTCATGGACATCTGTTATTTCTGCTTTCTTCATTCCACTTCGGCTAATTTCACTCAGATGTCCCTCTGAGGAACTATTCTGTTTCCAACTCTTAGTCCATGTCATTCTGGTGAAGCTGACCACACCTGACTTGGGGTGAAGTTTGTGACTTATGTTTAAGTCAGTCAGTATCTCATATTCCACGGCCCTGGTGATTGGTTCAGGGATGGATATGTGGTCAGTCAGATACTTTTGCCAGGGATTTTCGTAAGGAGGCTTGATGCTAAGGATGTGATGCTTGAGCTGACATAGCCATGTGACACTCATGACAGGAGAAGGCAAAATGTTCAGAAGTGAGTTCTGATTTTTTTAAAAAAGATTTTATTTATTTGACAGGGAGAGACAGAGAGAGAGGGAGCACAAGCAGCAGGGTAGAGGGAGAGGGAGAAGCGGGCTTCCCACTGAGCAAGGAGCCCTATGCGGGGCTCAATCCCAGGACCCCAGGATCATGACCTGAGCCAAAGGCAGACGCTTAATGACTGAGCCACCCAGGTGGCCTGTGAGTCCTGATTATGTCCTGTGTGTCTCAAGTCTGAACTACTCTTGGACTTTTTGAAGTATATGAGCCATTTTTTTGCATAAGAGAGAATGCATTGGGTTTTCTATCACTTATTACATAAAAGCCTTAAACTAGTACAAGGATGAAAACCCCTAAATCCTATGCCTCCTAAACATGGCCAAGATGGTCGGACTGGAAATGTTTCAAAGTAGAAAGGAACAATTAACTACCGTAGGCACAGAGAAACTTCTTTAACATTTCCATGAAACATAATTTTGAGGAATATTATCTTTCTGAAAAACCAATTATCATTCAGAAGTTGCAAAATATACCCCCATGTAACAAAATGTTCAAACTTTCACGGAATTGTTGGCAATGAAGTAAATAAATTCTGGATGCCATCTCAAGAAACAAGTTTTAATTTTAGAGTAATTATTTAAGGTCAATCTTTCCAAAAATAGTTAATTAGGAAGGATAAGATCGTCTGTTAAGACCACTCCTAGTTTGTGACAATAAAACCACAACATCAGCATCTAGGTTATTAGTTAGGTGTTTTCTCTAATAAAAGTATGTGAAAGCAAAACAACCCATTAGGGACAGTTAGGCTTTAGAACTTTCTGAGGCAGATTAACTAATTCTCATCTAAGAGAGCTAAGCTCTAATGGTTTTAAATGGCCTATGTGGGTGAAAAACCACTGGCTTGGGAATTAGAAAGCCTGAATTCTAGTTTCAGTTCTGATACTCAAATTAGCTCATTGAGTGTGACCAAGTCCTTTTAATCTCCATGAACCAAAGTTTTTTTCTCCCATAAAACAAAAGAATTTAGGCTAGATGTTGACTAAAGTCTCCTCTAGCTTTAAGATTATGATCCAGTAATTTGAGCATGGCCAGTCTACTGTCTCTTTGTAAATAGGAAGACTTCTTCACATAAGTCAGAGTAATCTATAAAATTTAGAAATAATAAAAAGTGGCATTTATTTCATTTTCCCTTGTATTCATGTATAAACCCCATTTTCTATACTTCAGCTGTTAATGAAAATAAGATAAAACAAGGAAGGATCAGTGCCATGAAGAATTAAAACGAAGTATAAAGCATGGTGTTCCTATATACATTACTCAACAGGTACTTTGTTATTGGGCTCTGAGTATGAATGTGTCATGATCTTTGTCCTTAAGAAGCTCCCCATATTAACAGTAGAGGCAGATTAACTATAGTTCAACTAAATGGTACCACAAAAGTGAGCACACAGGCTCTGAGTCTACAGAGGCGGAATGCTTAAGCCAGTGAATTTATTCTTAGAGCTGGCCCATGTAAAGATATTTTAAAGATGAATGACGATTTCTTGGCAGAGAGGTTATCATGTATTGAGCCCTATTTTTATTATTATGGAGATAAAGGAGATATTTGGAAAATGAATGTATGCATGTAAATTCTGATTTTTTCCTCCTGGTGGATTTGCTCTATTTAAGTTAAGGAGAGCTAACATTGACTGAATGCTTATTAAGTCTTACACTGTTAGGTGTTTTACATGTTATCTCATTTAACAGAACCTTTGAAGACCTCATTTTACAACTAAGATTAGATGACA